GTGGGGATGCTGTTGCTTGTAGTGAAACACTTAACCAAGGCAGGAGCCCTCAGCACTGATGTGGAAATCAAATAAATTACTCTTAAACTCCTTAATTTTAGGCAGATCACATCTCAGAGGCATCATTACAGCTGGAGGTGCCTCCATCAAGGCCCAGGGTGCAGTCAGCCCTGGCTGATTAGAGTTAATTAGGGCTAATTTGGGATCATGTGCAGCTGTGGTGTGGGACAAGGTGTCTGCATGGAGCCTGAGGAGACATCTGTGTGCAGGAAAGGGCCACCCAAGCCTCTGAGACGCCACCACTGGGCTGCCCTGTGCCTTCAGTGAGCATTAATTGCTATAACAGTCATTAGAGGTGGGATGGGGCTGGATTGTGGATTGAGGCTGAGCTCCTGCAGAGAAGCTGGCCTTGGAGCCTGCTTTGGGGCTGGGGTGCAGCAGCCACTTGCTGTTTCTGTGGGCTTTTTTTTTTCCTCTGGAGCTCTTAAGATTTACTGGTTGGCTGCTAGAATGTTACTTCTGGTCATTTTTACAGAAAAAATGTATGCAGGAAAGAACATTTCTTCGAAAAATCAGCCCTCAATGTCCATGCTGTTAGCTACCCCTTCCACCACTGATTCCCAAAACACAACACTGGCCACAATTTTGAAACATATCTTTATTTGCAGGCTTTACCTGATTTTTAGGAATTATTCAACCATGGGAAGCAGGATTTCCCTGTGCTAAGGTTCTGGGGAAAGGTGTTGGACAATTCTTCAATGCCACAGGGAAGGCAGAACCCTCCAGTTCTGATGGTTCCTGCCAGGTTTGGAGCAGGAGCATGGCAGAACCCACCAGTTGTGATGGTTCCTGGCAGGTTTGGAGCAGGAGCATGGCAGAAACCCCAGTTCTGATGGTTCCTGGCAGGTTTGGAGCAGGAGCATGGCAGAACCCACCAGTTGTGATGGTTCCTGGCAGGTTTGGAGCAGGAGCATGGCAGAACCCACCAGTTGTGATGGTTCCTGCCAGGTTTGGAGCAGGAGCATGGCAGAAACCCCAGTTGTGATGGTTCCTGCCAGGTTTGGAGCTGGGCCATGGCAGCAGTGCTCAGCAGGAGGGTGTCTTGCCCCTGCACTTGGAGTTGGGGTAGTTGCTGTAGGATTTGCGGTAGGAGCTGGCTGCCCTCTGGAAACACTCCACCGCCCTCTTGTCGCACTCACACGCCCGCTTCTGGCACGGCTTCCCGTTTCCTGGAAGAAAATTGGGGAGGATGGAGGCAGGGGAAGGGTGTGAGGGTCAGGGGGTGTTTTCTGACCGTCCCCACAGCCCCTGTGTTGAGTTTGGGGTGTCTCAGGTGGTCTCGTGTCTGGGGTGTGGAGCATTCACATCACTTTGTCTCTGATGTGTCTGTGGGTGTTTGCCTGCATCTCTGGGATGTGCTTTGTGACAATGAGCACTCAGGGCAGCTGTGCCAGGTCCCCGTCCAGCATGGGAGGCTCCTCTCAAACCCTTGGTGTTTGGCCTCTTGGGAAGTCCCCAAGCTCTAAAACTTCACCATAACCCAGCAGATACTTATTTGCCTTATTCCTGGCACTTTTCCTGTATTTCCACCCACTTCCCTGTGTGTGTGATTTCCAGGCCAGGGTGATCTAAAGGGGATGCTGGAAGCCAGGCTCCCCGGGTGTGGGTGGCTCCCCGCTCAGAGCTCTGCCCCGGCCCCGCTCTCACCGCAGGTGATTTGGTTTTTTCCGAAGCTGTATTTGTAGGTGGTCGTCTTGGGTCTGCAGCCGGCGGCCACCAATTTCTTGTAGCAGCAGTCGTGGGCGTGGCAGCACCTGGGGGCAGGAGAGCCGAGGTCAGGGACAGGTGGGACAGCAAGGTGAAACATCACCCACTGCATCTCTGCTGCTGAGCCACTTCTGCAGAGACTTTACGGACAAGCAACAATTTTCTCATTGCTGCTTCCACCCCCAGGAGCAGGAGGGAGATTGCAGCGCTGTACCCAGCTGGGGGCTCTCAGTACCTGTCAGTGGCATCCAGGGGCTGCTTGGAGCCGCCCCAGCCGCAGTAGCAGCCGTACCCGTTGTAAGCCAGCGCCGATTTCCCCGTCTTCTGCTTAATCATCGCTGCAAACTGGGCCAGGTTGCAGCTGGCAAGGGCCAGTCCTAGGACTGCAGAAGGTGGGTTAAGAGCATCAGGGAGAGCAACCTCCCGTGCCACCTTTCCACAGCAAAAATGGGCATCTCACCGTGCCCACCTGGCTGTGGGCAGGGCCTGGGAGCTTTCCCGGGGGATACTCACAGAAGAGGAGCAGCGAGAGGAGCTTCATCCTGGCAGAGGCAGCTCTGGGCTTCGGTGAGCCCAAGGTGCTGCTGGTCCCACCTTTTATGGCTGTGCACCCTCAGCAGGGCCCCTCCTCTGGGGAGCTCAGAGTGGGCAAATATTGACAGTGCTCACCACACTGGTCCCGCTGCTGTGCAGGTGTCCTGGCACTGCTGGAGGCTGTGGGGTGCCTTCTGTGGGGGAGGCCTTGGCAGGAGGTTTGGGATGTGTGGAGCAGCCTGGGGCTGAGTCTGTGGGTGTCTCAGCATTCCCAGTGCTTCCCTGAGTAAAATGAAAGAACTTGAGGGAGAACAGGAGCCACTTAGCATGAGGTGTTCTTGCCCATGGCAGGGGGTGGAATGAGGTTGTCTGAGGAGTCTGTGATTCCATGATCCACTTTCTTCTTGGACGACAGATTTTTTTGATGCCTTGGCTAGAAAACATCATTCTGTGCCTTACTGTTTCCATCCTGGCTTAGCTGGGCAGGGGGAAAATGCAGCCAGAGCAAAGATTCCTCCCCTTCCAACTTACCAGAGTGGCTGAGAGGCAGCATTGGGAGGGGAGGAAGGTCCCATGGTCTGCAGAATGGCTGTGGCTGGAGACAGAGCTGAGCAGAGGCCGTGGTTGGTGACTTTCTTGCTGGTGGGGCTTTCCCAGTGCCCAGATGCCCCCTGCATGTGGGGATGCTCCATCCCTCTCCCCATGTGTGCTGGGCACTGTTTTACTCTCAAATACCTCATGGCGTGAGGTGTGTGGTTCATCTTTATTTAGAAGCAAAATAAGGCAAGTGGCAGAGAAGAAAAAATGGAAGTGATGTATGATGGAAGGTGAGGGAAAAGAGACTGCTTGTGTCATTTGCTCGGGGAGAATCTCTGATTAAATTGGTGGTACTGAGCAATCAGTTAGCAGATACCTTCTGGCAGAGATTGCAGCTGCTCTGTGGTGCTTTTTGGGGAACGCCAGCATGGGCTGGCACTGAGGCAGGGGAGGAAACCCCCCCAGGGCTGGTAGGGAAACTGAGGCAGGGAACAAGGATGCAACTTGTGTGGGAATCAGAGAGGTGCTGAGAGAAGGGAACTCAGCTCAGCAAAATCTCTTCCCCCCTCTGCCGTGGGCCCTTTGCCTCATCACCTCTCTGGGCTAATTTAAGTTGTCCCCTGGGGTGGTGTTGAGTTAATTGGCTAAACCAGGATTTGCTGTAATTCAGGATTTTCCAAGTCCACAAACAGTTTTATCACAGGGGAATAAGGGATATTCTTGTCCATCAAACTGGCTGAGCTCCACTGAGAGCCTCTGCACCCCAGCCCCTCTACCTGTGGCAGGTTTGCAGGATCCCTTCTCCAAACGGGAAATAAGCTGCCTCCAAGCCAAATGCCTCCTGGGAAGCTGTGGATTTTGTTTCATAGTATGAAAACCACAACTCTTGCAGCCCAGTGTATTGCAATGCTCTGAGGGGCTGCAGCCTCTGAGCCAAACCATCAGCATCTGGAGGATTTGTATGAATGGGTTTGTACAGTCGGATGTCCAAGCAGGAAAATTCACGGGTGGTTAAAATTCACCCAGAATTTACAAAGGGAGAGTGTAATTCAGTTTGTCCCAGCCTGCAATCTGTCTGGGCTATCCATGCTCTCGGTGAGGGTTTGATCCTTGATTTATGCCCTGCAATTATCAGCTGCTGGGCAGAGAGCTCCTTCCTCCTCTCCCCCGGGATTGCACACGGAGATTCCCTGTCAGCATCGCTGATTTCAGGGCTATTTCCTGGTGCCATTGACGGCAGCTATGGGGCAACCCAGGGTGGCAATTCCAGCTGAGCCTCAGCCCCTGAGGAAAGTGTTTTGTTGCTGTTTCTGTGGCTTTATTTCCTTGCTGAGCCCCCCTAAGGCGGTTTGGAGCCTGGAGACCTGCCGGGGTCAGCACCCCGAGGCACAAAACCTGGGGATGCTGAAGTGCGGGGAAGCAGCCGCTGCCTGAGCTGCCTTTTCCTGAGGAATGTGCTCAGGGTTGTTGCAGAATTGGGCCAAAACATTCTTTTCTGGTGAGAACTCTGTTTTGCTCAGCGCTGGGTGTGACGCAAGCTCCCGGCCATGGTGTCACAGCAGAGATTTGGGGGATCACAGAATGTCTCGAGCTGGAAGGGACCCACAAGGATCATCCAGGTCCAAGCCCGGCCCTCCCATGGCATCGTGCCTGCCCCCAGCCCTTCCTCCAGCCCCATTCTCCCTCTCTCAGGAAAACTGGGCATTTTCAGAGCCCGAAGGTTTAGAGCTGAGTTGGGGCAGTTCAGGGGTGAGTTGTGTCACCTCCCAAGTGTCATTTTTGCGGGATACTTCAACAGGAAACCTGTCTGAGAGTGAGGGGTGCTCGCTGGGCTCAGCCGAGTCACTGCACGCTGCGAACCGGTGCTTTGGGCTCTCTGGTTTTATTTTGGAGCGACAGGAGGGAATTTGCTGAGAAGCAGAAGCGGAGGGAGCGGACGGGCTGCCCGGGGGACGCTCCCCATCCCGGGACAGGGGTCCCCTCCTCCCTTGTTGTGCTGTGCTGCAGCTCGGGGAGCGCCGCTGCCCCTCCTCGGAGGGCTCCTGTCCTCGCCTGGAAGCCCAAAGGCCCCGAGGGGGAGACTCGGCAGGGCTGGGAGGCGCTGCCGGCGCCGTCCCCTCGCCGATCAGCCCGGAGATGGTCCGGCACAGGGAGTTCTCGCTTCAGCAGCGCCCGGCTCGTCCCCGGCACCCGGCGCGGCGGCGGAGCTGAGCCCGGCCCAGGCGAGCCCGGCACAGCAGCATCGCCCTCTCGCACCTGCAGGCGCCTCGCTGGCAGCGCGTCCCCGAACCTGCGGGCACCGACAGCGGGCTGGGAGCTCGGAGCAGCCCGGGACAGGGGCCGCGGACGGGGGATGGTGCGGGAAGGGGCGTCCCGAGCACTCACTGCAGGCGGGGATCCCTGCCCGGGGCGCAGACAGCGGCTGGGCCGGTCCCGCCGGGCAGCGCCGCGCTGCCAGCCTGGCATAGCAGCAGGCTCGGAGCAGGCAGCACCTGCGGGAGGAGCAGAGCCCGGCCTCGTCGGGAGCGTGGCACCCGGACAGCCGAGAGATCCATTTCCTGCGTGCGGCACCGGCTGCTGACACAGGCTGTGCCAGCTCTGCCTCCTCCTGCTCCGCATCGCCCAGAGCCTCCTCTGTCCTGCCCGTTCCCACGCCAAGCCTCTGCCTCCCCCTGCAAGCCCTGCCCCGCATCCCGGCTCCAGGAACGTCCCCCTGCTCTGGTGCCATCCCACGGACCGGGCGCTGTCCCTGGCAGCGCCCTGCCCTCTCCGGGATGGAGTTAGGGGTGAGCCCTGCATCGCCTTCCCTGCTTCCCGAAAACCTGATGCCTTCCTGCTGCTGCTGCCAAGCACCCGGTCTGCATTTTGCAAAGCTTCGGCGGGGGCTGCTGGGGTGATGCAGAGCCCCGGAGTTACCCAGCGTTACCCTGTGGGACCAGCGTTAGCTCTCTGTGACCAGCGTTAGCCCTGTGGGGCAGCGTTAGCTCTCTGGGGCAGTGTTAGCCCTGTGGGACCAGCGTTAGCCCTGTGGGACCAGCGTTGCCTGTACCGATCCACCGAAGCCCTCGAGGTGCCCCATCCCCTGTAGCATCCATGGGCAGTCAGGTTTCCCACGGTGCTTCCCTCGAGTCCCGGTGTGAACGGGCGTGGGTGCTTCCCGTGCGCTGTGAACACACCTAGAGTGACGGTAAAATGTGATTTGGTTTTTGTGAGTTATGTGCCTGTTATGAGTTATGAGGCCTGGGGAACTGGGGTGGGAAGGAGGCTTTGCTGGGAGTCCCCCTGAGGAGTGCACAGCAGTTTGGGGATGAGCCTGGCTCCCGTCTGTGGGTCGGGGATGCACTTACTGCAGGCAAACAGCATCGTCAGCACCAGCAGGACCTTCATCTTCCTCTCACCTGGGCCTGGGAGGAGAAACAGGGCACAGGCTCAGCCAGGCAGCGTGGAGTTTGGTAGGAGCAGCCGTGAGAAGCTTCCTCTGAAATCGGATCAACCCCAAAATCTGGAGGGAGGAAAGCAGCTGTGCCCCCTCGCACCAGCGTTGCTGCTTCTTGGCTGAGAGCGAGTGGTGTCACCTGCTGAGCATCCCCAGCTCCTGTCCCACCCCTCAGCACCTCTCAGCTCCTGTCCCATCCCTCAGCTCCTGTCCCATCCCTCAGCTCCTGTCCCACCCCTCAGCACCTCTCAGCTCCTGTCCCACCCCTCCAGCACCTCTCAGCTCCTGTCCCACCCCTCAGCCCCTCTCACCTCCGGTCCCATCGTTTTTGGCACCCAGCGCAGCTCTCCCCGCTCAGGGCAGCCCCGCACGGTTTCCCTTTGGAAGCGATTTCCCTTTCCCCACCGGCACGGGCCGCTCGCTGCCTCCTCCCCACATCCCCCCGGATTTTTCTCCCCACAGCAGCGGAGTTGGGGGCATTGCTCACCGGGGCCCTTGCTCGCTGTCCGTCTGTCCCTCCGTGCGCAGCCCAGCTGGAAGCTCCAGGAGGACTCGTCCGTCCTAAGCCAGGATGCTACGCCCCTTCCCCCGGCCAGCCCCCTCGGCCGCGGGTGACGCAGGGGCCGAGCCCGAGTTCTTGGAAAGTTTTGGGAAGATGTTGATTATTTACGGGGATTTCTCTCCCTGCCCAGCAGCAGCAGCTCTCAGAGGACCGGGGATGTTGAACAAGAGCACTGTTTATTTCCGCGCTGGTTTGATTTACAGCGGCCCTGGTGTGGCCAGCACAGGCAGAGGGATGGAGGGCGATCCCGGCTCCCATCACGGGCACAGGTTGTTGGGGTAGGGCCGGCAGCGCTTCTGGGGTCTCCTGGCGTTTCGGGGCCGCATCCCAGCTCCCATCACCGGCACAGCCAGTTGGGGTAGAACCTGTAGCGTCTCTGGTAGCTCCAGGCGTTTCTCCTCAGGCACAGCGCCAGGCTGCGGTCGCACTCGCAGGACAAGAAGTCGCACCGGGAGCCCTGACCTGCGGGACAGGGGGAGCCCAGGGTCAGCCCCGGCCTAGGGGGGATGGCACCCCCTTTTCCAGGGCCGTACTCACCGCAGGAGAGCCTGCCGTGGTGCCAGCTGTAGTAGTAGGGGCGTGCCTTGGCATCACAGTCGTGTCTCAGGAGGCTGTCGTAGCAAGCATCGTGCAGCTGACAACATCTGGAGATTGAAGCTTTAGGGAGTGGCATTTTCTCCCCCTCATGCCACAAATTTAAAAATATTCAAGAAGGTGTCCAGGCAGGGGGTTTTTAAGTGGATTCTCACCTGTCTGTGGCATCCTTGGGCTGCCCCCTGCCCCCCAGCCCGCAGTAGCAGCCGTAGAAGCCGTAGTACAGAAAAGCGTTTTTCCCTGTCGCCTCTGAGATCATCTGGTGCAGCTGCAAGAGGCTCCCGTGGGCTGGGGACAAGCCTGAAGGGGGGAAATCAGGGAGACCACGCTGATTCCCTGCCCCCCAACAGCAGCTCCATCCCTCCAGCCCCCACACTGGCACCAGGGTGGGGATGTTTTAGAAATTATAACCAAACAGAGAGGAAATGTGCTCCCAGCTTGGCATGGGAGAGCTGTGGCATGTCTGGAGAGCTGGTGATGGGGAGAGGTGGAGAAATCACCAGCCTGGTCCTACTTTCAATGGATGTAACTGCACAGAGAGCCTTGGGACTGAGGGAGGACACTTACCCCACACAAAGAGCACAGAGAGGCCGAGGAGAGAGTTCATCCTTCTGACGGCACTGGGAGAGGAAACCAAACCATTCCCTGTTACACCAACCACCTTCTTTCTTTCCTCATCATCCAGGAGCAGAGGTTCTCCCTCTCTCTGGGGAGTAGGAGCAATGAGGGGGTAAAGATGCCCCCTTGTTTCAGCACAAAGCATCAGGGATGGGAATCAGATGGGGGAGAGGTGGGGAAAAGCAGAACCAGGAGAAAGGGAGAAAAATTGGAGGGATGTTCAGCCCTCAAGGGCTGCTCTTCTTCTGGGCTGGCATCTCAGGCAGCATCTCCTTCAATCCTGCTTCCCAGCATGGCACTTGCACAGCTCCTGGTGAGAGGAGGAGAAGAGGGAAAGCAATCCTCCATCCCCACTTACCTTGGGAAAGCCCTGCTGGCTTGCAGTGCCCTGTAGCCAGCTCTGCTTGCTTTATATAGCTTGCTCCCATCTGCCTCACCCAAAACTCGCTGACTGGGCTTCCCTGCAGAGGAGAAGGTGCCATCCTTCCCCTTTTGAGGAATGCCAGAAATCCCCCGAGGCCCCAGCCCCGGACCCCACGCACGGGTGGGTGCTGGGTGGGATGAGGTGGAAAAGCAGCGTCACTTCCAGCCTGAGGAGGAAGCAAACACACTCAGCATCTCAGCCAGAGATGCTCCTCCTCTGCCCTGCCCAGCACCAAGGAGCCACATCAGGGGGAAAAGAACAGCTCTGGTTCAAGATGGGCATGGACACAGCAAATTTGGGGCTTCCAAGGAGGTGTAAGGTGGCTCAAGAAGGTGTAAGGTGGCTCAAGGAGAGTTATCACTTCTTTGGGCAAAGTCTGTGGGCAATACTGAAGCCATCTCTAAGTGTGCAGTTCCCAGAGTCACGAGGCTGGGCAGACACCGGATGATTCTCACTCACCATGAGAAAACAGAAGCAAAATTAATCTTCTGAGGTGAGAAAGCCCAGCTTCCCCTTATTTCTCTCCTTGAGGTTTTCCCACCCCCTCATTACACCATTCAGTCATCAACTGCCCTCCTAAATTAGCACTTGTCTAATGTATGTGGTCAAGGCTTTGCAATCTTCCTTCCTCTGTGGATGATTATTCTTTAACTCTTATTTCCAAGAGTTATGGAATCCCAGACTGATTTGGTTTGGGAGGTGACTTAAGGAAGGAAGGTGACTTGTCTGCCTTTTGTCTTTTGTGCTGGAAAAACAGTTTTTTCTTGTCCTCCACTGACCAAGTTTTCAGCCAAGCCCTGATTCTGGCTCCAGTTTGGTGTCATGAGTGATGCTTCTTGGCTGACATGTGCCTTGTGCTTATCTGAATTGCTTACAGCCCATTAATGCTCCTCTGGCTAATTACTGCCGCATAAATAATTTGCAATTAATTTATGTATTTGTGCTGTTTTCCTGCTTTTAGTGTGTTTGCATAACAAAATGTGTTTCTATGAAATGCTTTATATGGAATTGTTTATAGCAGGAAATAGATATCAAAGAGCAGTTGTGTCATTGCTAGTAAAATCCTCACGTGCCACAAGCCAAACATCCCAGAAGATCCTGGGGATACTCCCGTGAGCTTCTCCCTGTGCTGAGCTGTGCTTTGGGCTGGACAAGAGGAACAGAAAAATGACATCCAGCTTAGAAATTGCTGTGATGTGAAGCCTCTTCTTGCATTCCTGGGACTGTTCTGTTAGCGTTCCTCACAAAGCTGTTGGGATGTGCCCTCTGAGCTGGGAATTGGAGATTCATAGAATCCCAGATTGGTTTGGGCTGGAAGGGACCTTAAAACTCATCCAGTGGGATGAGCAGGGACACCTTCCACTGTCCCAGGTTGGTCCCAGCCCCATCCAGCCTGGCCTTGGGCACTGCCAGGGATCCAGGGGCAGCCACAGCTGCTCTGGGCACCCTGTTTCCCAATCTTCTAGCTCCACATTGGGATAGGTGTGTGAATTACAGCCCATGGCAGTTTTGGGGTGTCAGGAGATGGTGTGGCTGAGGGATGCAGAACTGCTCCCCAAACTCAGCAGCCACCATTGCAGTGCCTCAATCTCAGCAGCCCTTACAGAAAAACACCATGGAGAACCAGTTTGCATCCCTTTTATTGTATCTGTTATCTTTGCTGGGAAATGAAATCAAGAGAGGAGGAAGGGACACAAAAGAGGAAGCTGGTATGACTTTCCAGGAACTGGTGGCTCTCCATCCATGGTGTGTGTGCCCTTCTCACCCCGAGCTGCACTCACAGGGAGCCTCGGGGGCTCTGCCTTTAGTGAGCCCCCAGCCCAAGCTTTTCTTGCTGGGGAAAAGCAAAACCTAGAGCTCTGTGTGCAGATTCGCCCTCCTCAGCACTGGAGCTTGCTGCCTTGGCACTTGAGCTTGAAGTAGAAGCGGTAGGAGTGGTTGTAGGAGGGCAGGGAGCTGGCGAAGCACGAGGCCACCGCGGTGTCGCACAGGCAGGTCTCCCTCTGGCACCAGCTCTGCTCGGTACCTGCGGGGGCAGCACGGGGCCCTGCGGTGCCTTTATCCCCCCGGGGCAGGGGAGAGAGCAGCGTGTGCCGGGACTCGCCCTGCACACACCCTCAGTGCCCGTTTAATCAGCACGGCCGGGCGGGAACGGGGATGGATTCAGCCGGGGATGGATTCAGCAGCTCCCGTGTGTGCCCTGCTCGGGGATGGGGACTGGGATGGGGACTGGGATTGGGATGGGAAGGGGGATGGGGCTGGGGCTGGGGCTGGGGATGGGGACTGGGATGGGGATGGGGATGGGGATGGGGATGGGGACTGGGATGGGGATGGGGATGGGACTGGGATGGGGATGGGGCTGGGGATGGGGACTGGGATGGGGATGGGGATGGGGATGGGACTGGGATGGGGATGGGGACTGGGACTGGGATTGGGATTGGGATTGGGATGGGGCTGGGGATGGGATTGGGAAGGGGATAGGAACTAGAATGGGGATGGGGATGGGGCTGGGATGGGGATTGGGATGAGGATGGGATGGGGCTGGGGACTGGAATGGGGATTGGACTGGGAGGGGATGGGGAGGGGATCGGAATGGGGATGGGGCTGGGGGCTGGGATGGGGATGGGAACTGGGATTGGGATTGGGATTGGGATTGGGATTGGGATGGGGCTGGGGATGGGGAGGGGATGGGGATAGGGATGGGGATGGGCATGGGGATGGGGCTGGGCTGGGGATGGGGATGGAGACAGGATTGGGATTGGGATGGGATGGGGATGGGATTGGGATAGGAATGGGGATAGGATGGGATGGGATGGGGATGGGATGAGATGGGGAGGGGATGGGTCTGGGGATGGGAACTGGGATGAGATTGGGATGGGATTGGGAATGGGATAGGGATGGGGATGGGATGGGGATGGGAGCTGGAATGGGGATGGGGATGGGGATGGGATAGGGATGGGGATGAGGCCCGGGACTGGAATGGAGATGGAGATGGGGATGGGGACTGGGATCAGGATGGGGATGGGGATGGGATGGGACTGGGATGGACTGTGATGGGACTGGGAATGGGGATGGGATTGGGATGGGTCTGGGGGCGGTGCTGCTGCCCACTGCCCGCTCTGTACTCACTGCAGGTGATGTTCCCGTCGCTGGCGGTGAAGCTGTACGGGGTGATCAGGGGGCTGCAGCTGCCCTCCCTCAGCCTCCTGTAGCAGCAGTCGTGGGCTTGGCAGCACCTGCGGGGACACCAGGTCAAAGCGCGGCCCCAGAGCCCCCCGGCACGGCTGGAGGCCAGGGGAAGGTCCAGCCTCAGACTGAAGGCCACCAGCGAGAGAGGTGGCAGGGGAACAGCGGGACGTGGCTGGGGAGCGGTGCAAACCCCCCAGCGCTGGGGGCAGCCAGCGAGCGCCTCCTCGGGGGCTGGGGGCGGTGAGGCCGCCCGGTACTCACCGGTCCGTGGCATCCACGGGGCTCCCGGAGCCGCCGATGCCGCAGAAGCAGCCGTACCAGCTGTAGGAGAGCAGCGCGCTCCTGCCCGTGGCCGCCCGGATCATCCGCTCCAGCTCCAGCACGGAGCCGCCGGCCCGGAGCAGCCCTGGGGGCACAGCGGGGCTGGGCAGGGCAGGGCAGGGACCCGCGGGCATCCCTGCACCGGGCACGGGCATCACCCTGCGCTGGCACTGCCCAAACGGGCGCTTTCAGGAGTGGAACCGTGAGAAGCTCTATCCCCTGCTCCAGAATTATGGAATCATAGAATGGTTTGGGCTGAAAGGAACCTCAAAGCCCATCTGGCTTTGTTCCACGTCCTGCCATGGGCAGGGACACCTTCCACTATCCCAGCTTGCTCCAAGCCTCATCCAACCTGGCCTTGGACACTTCCAGGACTGGGGCAGCCACAGCCTCCTCTCAGCCCAGCCTCCTCTCAGGGAGAGTGGCTTTTGCAGTCTGGCTTTCACAGCCTCTGGATTTAGTCTGCCACAAGATATTTTGCCCTCTAGACAGGCTCTGCCTGCTGCAAACTGCAATCCCCCATCACCAGGATCAGCCATGGGCTTGGCACAGGCAGGAAAGGTGACAACAGGCTTCAAGGGCCTCCCAAAAGAAATCTGGACATCCCAAAGGCTCCCCCTCACCAGCCCTCCAGGACTGCAGCAGATCTACGTGAAGCACTAGAGAGAAACTGCCAGATTTGAACAAAAACCTGAACTGTGCACAGAGGCTCAGGGTTTGTGGGTGGGTTCTGGCCTGGCCAGGCACAGCAGGGCACTTACCACAAGCCAGGAGCACGGCAAGGAGCAGATTCCTCATCCTGGGCTGCCCTGGGAAGGGAACAAGGATGGGTGATGATCCAGGAGCTTCACCAGAGGAGCTGGGTGCCCCCAGGCAGTGCCTCAGGTGACACTGCTGTCCCTGTGGGTGCACAGCCCTGGAAGCATCCCCAGGTGAATCCTGCCGGCTCTGTATCCCATTTGGGATGTGGGGCTTGGCAGGGACACAGTGGTTTGTCCTGCCTGGGGCTGCTGGAGCAGCTCAGGAGCTGCAGCCTTCCCCCCACACCCTGAGCTGCCTGAAGAGCACCAGGGCAGTGAAATCCCCTCCTCTCACCCTGCCTGGACCTGCGGTGCAGCGCTGCCAGCTCAGCAGGGTGGGTTTATATCCCTGCCAGGCCCACCCCCTCCTGTCTGTGCTGATGGTGTCAGCTGTCCTAAGCCAGGCTTGCCTGGGACAGGGAGCTGATTCCCATCCTTCTCTTCCCCAAAAACCAAGAGTTTTCCCACTGCAGTGAGCACCAACCCTCCCTGCATCATCCTGCTCATCACTGGGCATGAATCCATCTCCATCCCTGCATGAGGCCACTCGAGGCCTTGGCCATGGCCATGGTTTTAAAATCCATGGGATTTGGTGGCTGGAGAAGTGGGACAAAAGTGATTTACACTCAGGATGGCACCTCGGGGGCTGTTGAATCTTTGTTCCAGTTGTGGAGGCAGCACTTTGGGCTCAA